CTACTGAGATCAAAGCATGGTTAACTGGCTCCAAGACCAGGTCTACATCAAGCCACATCCTCCCTCAGATATGATTTTTGCCTTTTGGGCTCTCCATTTGTCACACTCTTTCCCTTTTCCTGTTTGACCAGCACATCTCTCAGGGCCTTGCTAGTATAAGTAACCACATTTTTTGTGCCCTTCCAAAACAATGTGATCTCACCAGATCACAGCCTTGCGTCCAGCTCAGCTCTGCCATTTCAAATGTGCTGAAGGTCTCCTGGGCAAGGCTCAATATTATGATTATGACCTCTTTGATATTTCTGGGATCGTCATCTATGAGGCAACAAGATCTTTTTCAAGTTCCTTGATCCCTTCGTGCCAGGGTAACCTTGCCACCTATTTCAACTTTCTTTATACGCCTCTGGGAAATGTATATCTGAGGTGCTCCTGAGAAGAGAAAAAGGCTTGCAGTTGAATCACAGAGCAAAGGAACACAAATCTACTTCTGTCACTCACTTCCTCTGCACTAATCCAGTACACCTACAGAAGTGTTTTAAAACAATAGAGAAACTGAACAGAAAAAAAAAGGTAAAACAAATCACATCGATCGATGGAAGTTGTTATATCTCATCTGCTGGCACTGGTGAGGCTGCACCTGTAAAACCATGCTCACTTTGGTGGCCCCTTATCCCCAAATTCAAGAGAGATGCGAAGAAGGGAATGGGGGTCCAGCACAAAGTTATAAAGGTGGCTGGGGTACACATGAGCTGAGGGAGCTGGCTTTGTTGACTCCCACCAAGAAGCAGTCAAGGAGGTATCTAGGAACAGCCCACAACTACTTGAAGGGCAGTTACAGAGATGACAGAGCCAAACTCTTCTGTGCAGTGGCAGGTGAGACAGCAATGGCCACAAATTGAAGCATGGGAGGTCCCAGCTGGACATCTGGAGAAGCTTCCTCCCTGGGAGGTGGTGCAGCACTGACACAGGCTGCCCAGGGGGTGCTGGGCTTTAGAGGCTTTGTGAGACACAACCACCACAGCTGACCTGACCTGCTGGGGTTGGTGAGAGCCCTGCTTTGAGTAGGAGGCTGGACTAGATGACCTTGAGAAGTCACTTCCTACCAACTTTGATACAATTCTCTGATCCTGTAAATAAGAGGGTGATAATCTATAGATGTAGTTAACACTGTAATACAATAGCAAAATCTTTACAGAAGACTTGAATAATGGCTCAATTAGCTCAGCACGTAAACGTTCAGTGGTGTTCAAACTGGAAGAAGACTACAGCAAAATGTCTTTATCATGCTTACGGGAGCATATTTATCATCTGTTACCATGAACATTTTCCTAGCTGCTTATAAATCTTTCTTATTAAGTTTTAACTAATTAGAAGTATTGCGTATCCTGCTCTTTCATTATGGAGTTTCGTATTCGTTCCTCATTTTCTTTTAATCTGTTGTCTTTGTAAGGGAAATTTATCCATTCTATTTTGAAATATAGATATTTCATTCCCCAATTTTGTTTTGGTAGTTGATCAACTTCCAGAACTCATTATTAAATTCATCAGGCTGCTCCAAATTATCAGATGTATTACCATGCTGCTTTTTAACTTGTTAAATAATTTTCTGTTTCATAACATATTTAATAACATGTTTTCATAAAATAAATACTGGTAAATTATTCTCAATTTCCAGTATTTTTTCTTATTCTTAATTAGCAGCTTTTTCAATGAGAGTCATAATTTCTTAATCCAATAGAATATATGTATAATGGTATCATGGACATTCATTTTTGTATTCTAATATTTGCACTGTATATGTCCATTGGCTTTCCATTTTTGAAATGGGACACCTTAACAAACATATAAAATAAGGGGAAATTAGATTGGTTCTAAAGGCGTTCTGACGGTTGGTGTTTATTTCTATAAATCAAGGCATTGCCTTGGCTTTTCTGAAGGTATCTTACACAGAAAATATCTTCAGTTTACAAGGCTTGCTATTTTTTTGGTATCACTTAGCAGGAAGAGCTCACTTGCTTTAAGTTATACGGGCTAATAGGGTTCTGCTGTGCATATTTAGCCCATATTTAGCATTTTAGGTATAGCTTAGCCTTTTAAAACCTGTAAGACAGGAGAGCAACTCCTGTCACAGCTGCTTCCAGCATATGCTCTCATTTGAAAATTATATGTTTTGTACCTATTTTTGTTTTGTGATGTATCAATACTATATGATATAGTAATAATAATTCCTCTCTCTTATGGGGAAGATATTTATATTAAAAAATAGAATTCATAAGCTGAGCCAAAGCCATGTGCAAGTCATGAATGTAGAAACTGGTTGTTATAATTGTCTTTCATAGAATTGCATAATCTTTTCAGGGTATCAGACAATAGATAAATAGGTGTTCTTATATTTATATGAAGTTTGTAGGGATTAGAGTAAATTTCCCTGCTTTCAAAATGCTCAGTCAAAAGTTAGGTGATAATTTGTAGCCTTCTGATTTTACAGCTGACTTAGCTCACTATTTCATACTGGTATGTTTTATTCATATTGTGTATACCCCAGTTTTTAATTTCGGCGTTATAACAACTTGGAAGATTTTGAGAGAATTTATTTGTTTAGAAGCAAAAAACTGTATAAAAGGTTGATAATATACTTGTAAGTTCTAATTAGTTTTGACAAGTCCTAATTAGAATAGACCTAAGAAAAAAGGCACTCATGAAAGAGCTCATTACTGTTTTATTAGTGTATTGTAAGACTGCGTAGAAGGGGATAAGGACTCTCATATGCCTGCAAACTGTGAAATGCACTGCTCTGTGAATGACAAGAAAAGTGAAAAACAAACTGGATGTCTGATTTAAGTACTTCTGAGCAAATTTCTTGCTCTGATATCACAGTGCTGCAGAAGGTGTGTTGTTTACTGAATGTGAAAATGAGTACTTGACTTGAATCTCATTTACAGAAAGGCTACTTTCCACTGAATTGGTAAAGTGAGATGGGACAATATTGCAATTTTCTCACTTTCTGTTGTGTTTGCACAATGCAAATGACATCACATGATTCTGGACACTGATGGCACAACTGTCTTGGGTTTTACCTAAAATGAAAAATACAGTAGCCTTTAACCTTGTTTATGTCAACAAAACTGAGGACTCGTAAAAATAAAGTAACACATAACTTGTCTGCACTCAGTCACCTCCCCTGAGAGCTGTATCCATCAGGCTGTATCCCTGAGTTTAAGACAGCCTTGTGCTTTTAACCCACAGAGCAGTACTAATGGAAACACTATATGCATGACCACAGGACTGAAATGTGGGGTGCTTAACAGTTCCACAGGTTCCACCTATATTAACATTTCTGTTTTTCTTTTTTCTCCAGTTAATTTCTACTCTTTCCACCTCTGATCATCTTTCCTCTAAACAACCTGCTGTCCACTTAATTTCTCCAACTAATCAGAAAGTAGTGTGTGGTGCCATGGTTAACCTGAATCAAGCCTCTTCGCTGGAAGACTCCCGTAACAACTGGCAGTCAGCAACTGGGTTTTCTAAGCAAGATTCATCTCTCTACTTTCAGTCGGCTTCCCATAGTTCACCCCCCTCCATGTCTAAAATATCCTCTTCTGCATCAAATAGTTGTTACTCCACTCCTCGATTGTATGATAACCTACAAACACCAAGTCTCTATACCTCTGGCTGCATTTGCAAACTGGGAGACTTTACCACATCCTCCGTTCCAGCAAAGAGCCCAAGTCTTTCCCCCGATCCTCCACGTTCAGCTGAAATTCAAGGATCTTCATCTCAGCCTTTATCCCCCAGTTCTTCCAAAAGATTGAATGCTTTATCTCCTGTCCCTGTACATATAATAACACATTCATTATCTCCTAGCCCTAAACCTTTGTCTCCACCCTCTCTTTATGGCTCCTCTTCAACCATATGTAGTATAAATGAGCCTTGCACACAAATGTCATTTAGAGGAAATTTAGCAAAGTCAGGAATCAGATCCCCTCTGCCAACCAGACTGACCCTCTTAACTGCTATTTTGAGATCAGGCTCTTCTCAGCGGAGACCGCTTTCCCCTGCTTCTTGTCCCACGTTTTCTCCTTGCTCACTTGGTTCCTCAACACTCGCACTAGATCAGAAGTCCAAAACAACTCCCCCAACCCCGAAGAAATCTCTTTCAAGCCCTCCTATAAGGCCAGATTCTCCCAGCAGAGAGGAATATTGGCTTTCAGGATGGGCTCGGCATCTGCCTTTACTCTCCAAGCCTCATCCCACCCCTAGCACGAGGTCCCTTTGTCCTAAAAAGCACCTTCCAGTTGGAACACTTCCTCTAGACTCCCAAAGTCCTCTGTCATCCCCCGTCTCCTCCCATAAAAAATCAGTTGCCTCTCCAGGTTTGCAGTCTATGCTGCCTCCTCCTTGTGCCCCAGCACCCTCTTCCCTTGCACACCCTACCTCTCCTTCTCCAGAAGGGCTGCAGTATGCTGCCTCCAGGTCCCGGGCACCTCAGAAGTCTCAGAGAGTACACACTTACTCACCCATCTTTACCTGCCAGTCATATCCTTTGCTTTCCTCTACCAGTCTTAGTGGTGTATTCTCCCCCACCCTAGAAAAACACTCATCTCCTTCCCCAAGTCTTTTGCATTCAGCTTCTAGATCTAAATCAGATTCATCCCAAATGTCTGTTCAGGAGATGAGTGCCTCCTCTCCTACCCCTTCAAGTGTCTCAAAGCAGTGGTCTCTCTCACAGCCTCATTCTACTCCACTGGTTCCACAAACTGGTAATATTAATTCCCATCCACTGCAGCTTAATTCTTCATTGGTGCACACAAATTATAGGTCTAATTCCTCCTTTCCAAGACCAGAGCAATCTGCCACCTCACCAGTGTTAAAGTGCAGATCTCCTGTCTCAGACAAGTCACCAGGCACACTGCCATCAAGACCTAGAGAGCTGACTGCACCACAATCTTTTTCCCTGCCTCCTGACCATGAGAACATCAAACCCAAGGTACTCTTGGTGCATGCTTATTTTCTAATAGTTCTTTGTCCCTGTAGGAAAAATCACATCTGTGTTGCACAATGCTGGTAAAATAAATGAGCTGTGGAAAAAAATGTTTAAGAAGGAACTGTTTTTGTATCAATAGCAAAGATAGCAGAGACTAAATCTTACCATATCAAATTGCTAGCAATGTGTTCTGTATTATGGGGAAAGATGCTGTAGGAATCCTTTAGCATAAAAATAAAATACTTTATTCATGAGTGGGAGGAGTTACTACTGAAGATGGATTTGTGTCCAGTGGCTCTGATATACATTTGGTGCACTTACTTTTGAAGCTCACTTAAAACACTGGTGTGTCAAAAATAAACCATAAAACATGTTCTATACACCTCATGCTAACATAAATCCACATGTATTCACACTGAAAGTAATAGATGTATGGTGATCTTAGGTGCAGGGCTGAGCTAGAAGCAGCTTAATCTGGCTGATGTGAACTGTCTGTTCCAGTGACGACCAATTCCCAAGCACCCCATCCCGCCTGTCCTCCCTGCTCCCCAGGGGGCTGTATTCACCCCAGCCGTTTTGTGCCTTTCTGGGACCAGCCCAGAGGCATGTCTGAGCTCAGCCTGAGCAAGGACTATGGGCCCAAGAGCCAGAGAGGGAAGACAAGGACAGTCTCCTGCTTCTTCCCTTTCTTTGGTACTTCTCTCATCTTGTTGTGCTAGACAGAGGGCGAGGGAAAAAAGCGCCAAGCTTCCTACAACATGGGCTACTGCAAATACAGAAGTCTCACACTCAACAGATCAGCCGTGCTCCTGCTGTTTGTCATCCACCCAAAAACAGGAGAGTCCCAGCAGAGTGAGAATAAGCAATGATGGCAATTGCTGCAGGAGGGCTTGGGAACCAGTCACACTTTAAACCTAAAGATAAATCTCAAGAATGGGAAAGGGAAGGAAAGGAAAGCTGGTCAAAAAACATTCAGCAGGTAGGTGAAAACAAAAGGAACCGCTATGCAAAAAGGAAGAGCTGGTGGCAGAAGACATCAGAGCTGCAGAAGGCTTTCCAGCCTCTTTTATCTTATCTTTGCACTCCGTGCTTCCTTTGTGCCTCCTCTTGCTGATATCTGAGCTCTGCCCATCACAGAAAGGCTATCATAGTTTATTGATTTATTTGTTCACGGCACAAAATTACAGCCTGGTCTGCTAGATCAGGTTGTGTCATATGTGTTCCTAACAGCTTGGCCATGGCAGGGGTGACTTGAACTGCTTGGAAAATGTTAATTGAAAATGAGAGGTTTAAATCAGCACAAAGTAGCAATTGTCATGAATGGTTCTTTTAAAAACCAAACAACCAAAGAGGAACCATTGTGCCAAGCACAGCTGTACAGTGTCGCTACACCCTGTCAGTATTACTTAATGAAACAAAAAGAGAAATGAAATTGTAGAAATTCCAAGAAAAAAGCCCCCGAGACAAAACTGGAAGGCATGACTGAGCCTGCAGATTGCAAAGCAGTTGCAGTTTCTGCTAGTCAGTGCAACGAGCACTGTGGGATTCTCTGGCGGTAAGGAAATTCTCTGCTTGTAACACAGAGCTATTGCCTGGGTTTATATTTGCAGAGGTTATTACACCCTTTCTGTCCTCCCTACTGTCCCTTTTCCTGCTAATTCTGCTTTACCATGTGATACGGTGGCACTTTTGAAACTGCCCCACCACCCCCTTGAGACTGGGAGGGTGTCCACCAGTTTAACAGACTTGGACCGTTAGTCTGGTGCAATTTTTAATCATGCAGACAAAGCTGGCTCCACTGGGGATGTGGAAGATCTGAAATCTCTAAATCAAATGCAGCTGGGTGTTTAGTGCAGGAAAGGTCTCTTGTGGCTTTAAAATGTGAGGCTAAAACTTCATTTACAGTTAATAATAGTGTGCATTCAACACCCCCTTTTCCTCCTGCTCTGATTTCTTTCCATACCTAGTTTATGGCATAACTCAATGGACTTTGCTGATGTGTTAATGGTACCAGGCTCTCTGATAACACTCCAGCCTCAAATACCAGTATATTTCCAGAGAAAAAGGAAAAGATTGAGGAGAGACAACATTAACATCCTAAGCAGCATTAGCATGATATCAAAGCAATTATGCAAAAAGGATTCTTTAATGGAGAGCTTTTATATGTCTATGCCTCTGCATGCACCAATTCATGCAAATCAAAGAATAACCTATGAACTTATTTCAAAACTGTTTGCGTTTGTATATATAAACACATGTGCTTTCCCATGCTTTATCTTTATGTTCGCCAATGATTTAAACATACAACTATTTTGCAAAGTGAATATAAACATAAATCCACAGATCAGTGTGAAGTGTGAACTGTGGGTGACCACAGGAAATAAAAACCCTCTCGCTGGACTTTGCAGATACTTTAATAGTGTCCTCTTGGACCTAATATAGCAAAATGAACAGTAGGATGGAGTGGAGACAGATAAAATTGCTGATTGTGCAGGAACAGATTAGAATAAAAACTTCTGGCTGTTTGAAAACTCTTTGCAGTGGTTTCATGGGGTATCATTCCTACATATGCTTTAATTTTTCCTATTTGAATGTAGCACAGGAATGCATGTAGATCTACCCAAAACAGCTGGGGAACAAAGTAACTGTAGCAACACAGAGCTCAGCACAGCTGCAAAAACTACCACAAAGCAGGAAAGATTACTCATGAGGAGCTCTGCACTCTCATGGTTAGTCGCTGATTTTAAGCCTTTATAGGTGTGTGTCTAGCACACTTTGCAATGCCCTGTAGGTGCCCAAGGTGATCATTTCAGCAAGAAAAGTAGGACATTTACCCTTAAACTCCCCAGGCTGATATTTGCCCGAGCTTTGATATTGGAGTTGGTTTGCTTCTGACTGAACCATGGCGCAGGCCAGCAGACTTTACTGTCCATGGCTGTTTAAAAATACTGCTAGATTCCTATGAACCAGATTATTAAATGTATTTAGGCATTGAAGAATAATTTTAAGTAATGCGAACTAATGTGTAAAGAAACATATCCATATAGATGAGAAACTGAATTAAAGACTTTCCACTCATCTCGGACATTGTGACAATAGTACATTGCTCACAGGTTCTACAGTATCTGGAAGTGATAAAGCACATTAAAGCAGTATAGAAACTTTTACATTTTAACAGTCTGATATGTCTTTGTTTAGTTCATGTAAGAGTACAATTACAAAGTGGTCAGAGTATTCTCGTCATATAAGATGTCCATCTTGTTATATGTAAGAGCCCATGGGCTAGTGAAGACATTACATTTCATTTACATTTCAATTATATAATATTCTTGATTGATTATCAATTATAAGCAAACAAGGATACATTTTGTAGATATGCCAAATTTAATATTTGGAATTTTGGTCTTCCATCTTCCCTCAGTGTGCAGTATTTTATGTCTTATCTGCATATAGATTTTGTATATACATAAATATATATATGAACCTACACATGTTTATAGCAGAGTGTTGCTGTCTAAATGTTCAAAGGGCAGGATTCAACTCACATGACTTTTGACATTTGAAAGTTAGATATCCAAGCACAACTTGGGCAATTCTATTATAGCTAATGAAGAGAATATGGTGTCTTTACAGGATGATTTTATTTTACCTTTCTAGATGCTTATTTTGGGATGAGATGAATTATCTTGTAGAAATGCCTATGACTATAAAAGGCATTAGTTTTGACTGAAGCATCTAAATGGTAGACATCCAAGTTAGAATCACTAAATCCCATATAAATTACTACCCCCCCCCCCAAAAAAAAAGTGCATTTCCAGCATTTGCATTGATCTGCTTTGTCAGACTGTTCATTCAATATGATTATTGTGATTATTGACTTCTTGAATGTCTGTCAGTCTTCAACTTCTGACTATGGAATATGAGTAAAGTCAAAAGCAAACATAGTATTATGTATAGAAAGAATTAAAAGGTGATGTCCTACAATATTTCAAGAGAGGTGCAAGGATGATATGTTTCTCTTATCTGAATTAAAATTTTGGCCCCTCTACTGTCATCAAGACTTTTATTAGATATAAGAAAAGAAAAAAGTGACAAAAGAATGACCCAAAGTACAGCATGCTACTCACCCTGTTATCTCATAATCACCAGTATTCACAGTTGCAGACAGCAGTACATTAAAAAACCTGAACTGATTAACAAGTAACTTTATTTCTGGGTGATTATCACAGAAATAATCAATCAATAACTTAAAACTCTATTAACGTGTGAATGTATGATTTTTTATTAGAATGTTGCTGAAAAGGGAACTATGTAGCAAATCCCTATTTAATTGTTAAAAAAAAAATATTCCAGCAGTCATGCGATTAAGAATCCTAGCTCTTGAACTGATGTAAGTATAGAAGAATCTCATCCATCATTTAAAAATTACTGAGTTCAACCTCCATAACTGCAAAGAAAATGTAGAAAGTATGGTTTCTAAAGAGTTAAAAATAACTGGGCAAGCTAATATCGTCTAAAATATAAATTGTTTAAAAGGAATAATTTTTAAGGTTGATCTTAGAATTTTTGTACCCAAAACCATGTATTTTGTATGGTTTAGATTGTCAGTTCTGTATGCTTGGTTAGAGCATGAAAGTTCCTATGCTTGTTTTGAAATATTTTTTTGGGTGGTAGAGTTACATATTCAGAAGATAAAAAGCTGTGACATGACTTAAGTGATCTATCCACTCATGCAAGTAATTCAGCATTTAAGTATCCTAATCAGTCTCATTAAAGCCAATCACAGAAAGCCCTCTGACTTAGTGGTCCAGGATCACACCACACAGCAGCAGTTGTTGAGGTGTATGTACTGGCAGAAGTAGCTGTGCATTATCATATCAAAACACAAGCTTTGGAAAAAACTCACAGCCTCTCCTGATATTAATTTAAGGATAGTAGTCAGCAGAAAGTTGTCAAAATCACTTTGGAAGTTATAAGCTGGTACAGAGAATTCATTTTGTCTTACTTAATTCCTAAAACCAAAAGATGTACGTTACAGTCCTTTAAAATCTTAACAGAAACTTTAAGAAATAGCTTTCCTAGGTAATACGTAAGCATTGTATTGTTGCAACATGTCTGCAAGACAATTGGAATCATCTTTCATTCTGTCATACCTTTCCCCTCTCTTCCCTCTCTCTCCCTCTCCCTCTTCTACCCTGTTTTACTTCTCTTCCTGCTTTCTGGTTTACCCTTTTAGCAGTACAAGATCAAGACAAACTACAAGGCATTTGCAGCAATCCCTACAAACACATTACTTATGGAACAGAAGGTTAGTGTTTGCTCAAAGACATGGGAATTGCATTGTATATTTGAGACCATTCAACTTTATGTACATATTCTGACATTTCTGTGGGGGATATTGCAGAATGTAAGCTCTGGGAACTAACTGCTCGGGATTATAATTCCAACCATTTTTCAGGGTCAACCATTTTCCACTGAAGATCAAAGCCTTCACTAATCTGAATTTCTGCAAATAAATTTACTGTAAAAGAAAAAAAAAGTGTCCTAAAGGAATTGCCATTTATGGCAACATCTCAAAGTCTGTTTTGTTATTGGACAGTGTCTGGAGCACTGTGGTTCTGGGACCTAGCCATCAGTAGGTCTTGGTCAGTTAATGATTGTTCAATGGCTATGCTTATACTAGTAAATTTAACATCCCAAGATACGCAAATTTGACCAGCTGTATTGTTAAACTATGAGAACGGTCCTGGCCATTGCACCGGCCTCTGTTAACTACCATTCTTCCAAACAACTTCCCTGAGCACTTCAACAGTTAGCATGGGCCAGGCGTCCATTCCCAGTACATAGTTTGGGGTAACAATCCTTTTCTGTAGGGTAGGATTGCAGATCCAAAGAACAGTCTTTAATGCATTTGTTTACTACCAAAGACACAGCCAACAAAGGCTGGGTTGTATAGTCCTTATTTAGATAATGCAATTTTGGAAGTCAATTGAAAATTTAGATTTTGCATGAAGGGTTCAAAGTACCCACCAATGTCTATTTTTAATTTTTTTTTCCCAAATTAGTTTTGCACAAAAGAATAGCCCACTAAGTTTAACAAAAATTGTCTATGATGAGCAATGAGCTAAGTGTCTTATATGTTTAAAGATATACTTAATCACTCTGACACCCAGTTTATAACTTTATCAAAAAATCTTTCTGTTCAGGACCTAGTTCAGGAACTTAGCCTCTGATTAATTTCTGTAAGGTTAAGCATTCCTAACTACACATTTAAATATGTATTCACATACACAGCTCAGTTGATTTCGCTAGAAGTTTGTAGAGCCTAAGAGACTGGAGAGGGTGAACTTAGCTGTGTAAAAATTTTGAAGGTGATAATTTTGTCCTTGAAATATTACTGATTGTGATCTAGTAGTTATCAGTTAACTTCTATAAATAAGATTTTTTTTTTCCAAAAAAGGGACATTCCTTTCTTTTCCAATGTTCTTTTAATCTTGAATGATTTTTTTAATCATTTGCATAAAACCTGATCCTTCCCTTACTTAAATCTTGAATGCACTAATGGAGGTTATGTCTGCTTTAACATGCAATGTAGTCCAATAGAAGTGGCTCTGTAGAGGAAAATGTCTGATGCAGGGGATCCTGCACCCCTACAGAATGTATTTTGGAAGGGTTTTGCTTGGGCAGAGTGCTGTTAGTGGCTGGAAGCATTTGGTGGACTCCTGAAGTGCCACTTCATAGTTGACTTCATCTGAAAGGCATACAGTTTGTGCCCTCTATGACTGCACCACTCTGCAAACCAAGCCAGGTAGGTGACTTTGAGCAGGGTATTCACTCTAAGAGCACACTCCTGATGTGAACTAGTGGGTTAATGTCAGCCATCTGATTGCACTTTTTCAGAAGAAAGGGGATTCCTTTTGATGGTCTCGCTGATGCTCTCTGGGGCATTGACTCACAACCTGCGTGTTACTTACCCCCAATACATAAAGCTGAATTCTACAATCTAATGCCAGTATCTGTATAAAAAATAATGATTCAAAAGATATCTGTGTTTAGATAGACTTTTGGTTATCCACCACTTTATTGAAAATGCTAGCCTTGGTGTATCCTTCAGTAGCGAAAGTGGAGTCATGTAAAACCAAAAAGAAATCAATTTTCTGCCACAGGATTTGCCTTCAGGAGAGGCTCTTGACTAATTTACTGTATGTTTCAGCATGGCCTGGCTACATGCTTTCTCTCATCTTGGGAATTATGGATAATAATTTCCTATTGATCTGTACCAGCAGCTAATTACAGTGCTCCTAAGCTAGTCCTGTAGTGTTAGCTGACATGCATTTAGAGTATGGCTCTTAAAGGAAGCATGAAGGAGTCACATGGGACACACAGGCCCCATTGTACCAAGCCCTCATATCCAAGTGTTCTCCTCAAAAATATTGGGGAGGGAATCAGGAAGGAACTCATGCTATATTGTAGCTCAAGGACAATAATTATGTTGCTCCCATTTTATGCAATGCATTTTATGCGCTGGATTAAAAAGAGAGAGATTCAAGACAATAAGATTTTAACTACATAAGGGATGTTTTATTAACATTAAAATAATGGTTATGTGGAGAAGTTTTCAAGTAGCTTTTTTTTTTAGCAAGGAAGGAAGGCATGTAATATCTGCAAGGCACAGATACTACTGAGCTGAATGCATGGTTAGGAATACATCATCTGCCTCAAACGCTAAAGAAGTGTTTTGCTATGCAATTGAACTGGGAATGCACATACTCAGAAGTCAACTTTTTCCACTGTATGAGTAATTATATTACTTAATTTGAGTGGTCATGAGAAATAAGATTAGTCAGAACTGTGATGTAGGTGATCCTAGTGACAATTCATGTGCAGTATTAATTAGATACCATGATAGAAAACTGCCATTGATATGTCATGTAAGGTACCGTGCTTTGTCTGCCTCTAAATTGTCTCCTTGTGTCTAACTTTCTTTCTCAAGTCAATTCTTTCTTTTCCGTGTGTGTAGATGCTTTAATTTCAGCCAACATTTTTCAACTTCTTATGAAACCATTAGGCAATCATCATCTTAATGGTTTTTCTAGTACATGTTCTTCTTATCCTCCAGTACTCTTACTCAAAGCAAGTTGTTCAAATCTGTGCTCATTAGCAAAGAAGAAAAGGTATATTGACTATATATGTGTATACTTTGGCAACCCCAGAAGTGGCTTAATCTCATCAAATCTCATAACTGGCATGCTTTCCAGCTGTTTGTTTTGTATGAACCTGATGTTCCTCATATCACCTGTGCTCTGCTCAGAAAAAGCCCAATCCAGGATATCTCTTGGAAGATTGGGCTGTAACTTCCTTCACAGCCAGAAGAGCAAAAACTTGTTTTTAAGGGACTTATCCTCAGCATAGTCAGGCTCTGTCAGGGAGCACCAAGAGCAGGCTGCTCCACAGGGAAGGTGAACTGGGAGCCAGGGTGACAGCAAGGCTGGCAGGACAGTGTCCTCACCAGCAAGGTCACAGCTCCACAGTGCCTGAGCAAGGAGAGCAGAGACGATAATAATGAGGTGGTGGTAACCTTGGTCAGTCAGCAGTGCCATCATAGCCACACAGATTCATAGTGATGAGGCAGGTCCACAAACTGTGTTAATGAACTCTTCAGCCCAGCAGATGATAGGATTCACTGGCTAGAAGAGGAAGCTGGACAAGTTTAATGTAGGCATATGGCAAAAGTTTAACAGAAAGAATTAATTAACCGTTAGAAAAAATTTCCAGAGAGTGAAATGGGCTCTTTATCAAAGAAATTAAAAAATCAGGACAGGACACTTTTCTGGCACTTCATACTGTAATTCCAGGCAGTTTTGTGGTTTAAAGAAAAGGTCAGACTAGGTGATCACTGTGGTTCCTTCTGGCCTTATTAACGTTGAGTCAGTGAGTCACCCCTCTACTGACACTCACTCTTGTATAGCTTCTACAGTTATATAAATGTGATCACAGCCTAATTCAAAATTCCATTCCTAATCAGATAGTATTTAAAAAATAAGGCATCTATTATTTAGAAATTGTATTTATCAAATACCAATAAAAATATCTTTCAGTCAAAATAGGTAGTGATGAAGGGTTTATTTCAGGGAGCTACAGAAAAATTCTTAACTTTAAGTAGACAGTCTCTTAAACCAGATCCTACTTAATCTTCAGAATTATGTCAAATTTGAGATGTAACCCAAAAACTGTTGGACGCCTTGGAATTGCAAACCAAAAAATTCTTCTCTTAACAATTCAGTGGTCTTTGGTCTATAGCAAGGTCTATGCAGGGGAATTTGGGTTTGCTGTGTTTGTCCAGATACACACCCTCTCTGCATGCTGATTGGGGTGAACTTCCCTTATCCGGGCATCATTTTGATGGGAAGGAAACCTGGGCATATAGACTTGGCGGGGAGAAGTGCTGCAAATGTTCTGGTCAGACTTCCCCCATCTGAACTGTGGTGAAACCAGGATGATGGGGTACGCCATGAAGCACACCTGCTTCACAGTCGAGGCTTATTGCATACTTACCAAGTTTTCTGAAAAGCACTAGGTATAATTGGCTATGGATGGAAGAGGTGCAAATGAAAGCACTGTTGACTTATCTGGCTTGTATTTATCAAGCAATTACAAGTAGAGAACTATAATTTCAATTTTAAAGAAATGTAGAAAGAAATATTCTGTCTTAAAGAATAAATATTTTAGGTTATTGATTTTGTCTGTTTATGGCTGTTCTTCACGTTTTCCCTTGTCACAATGCAATTTGGCTAACTTCAAGAGAGTCTAAAACAGTCTTTCCACATGATGTTACACTTCTAGGAAAACTCCAAAGACCTGGTAATTGTATCCCATCACCTACACAGCAGAATGCCAGCAGTGCAGTATATTCTCCTTGTGGAGGAAAAAAAGAAAAAAGAAAAAAAAAAAGTGCATTTTCCTTCTCATGCAGAAGGAAAAAGAGGGTGGAGTTTTTTTTTTTTTTCATGAAAAGAAAGAAATGCAACTGAGGAAATATGCCAATGATCTGTTACATTGGAGACCCAGCTTTAAGTTCTTGCCTTGAGGGAACTCTTACCTATTGTATTATCAAACATCCATTGGTATAGGGACTGATCATGGCAAATGCATATTCAAGTCGCTCCTTGAAATCATACAGCAGGAACTTGGAAGCCAATTTTTCCCACTCTCAGATAGTAGACCTAACTGCTGGACTGTTGGCTATTATCAAGCACGTCAGGACCTTTCTGGACCTGGAAAGCATTTCTGACAACACTTCGATGAGAATATTTTGGTAAAAAAAATTTTAGTTTTCCACAAGTACTTCTGGTGTGCACTTACTAGGTGAATTTCTTGCATCCAGATTATGTGTTCATGTCAAAATGCTTCTCAAGGCTGGAGGTAAATACCTAGTGGTAAGAAAGAAAGGAAATAATTTGTGCAGTCATAGGGTGATAAAGGACCAAGTTCGTCTGTAATAATAACCAAGTGTACCAATGTAGGAGCAGGCTATGAGCTCCCTCTTTCTTTCAAAGGCCTTGCAGCTTTTAGTATTAATTATTTTATAAGAGGAAAAGTAGTCAGGTCTTTTCAGTATCATCTCCCAGGATCTTCAAGGAATAAATTAAAGGAACTCATGGTATGTGAAGTTCTGTTATACAGAGGGATTTTTTTGCATCTGCTGAGGGCTTAGGAAAAGATATTGATGGTAAAAATATGCAAGAGGAATAAAAGAAGAGGAAACTTCTTGGCTTTTGCTCAGCCCAGGGTTTTCACAATACAGTAAGAAGGAAGCTGTGTCAGATCCAGGTTACAATATTCTTTTTTTCTCCTACTATTGATGTGGTTCATTGGTGGATGAAACAATGTTCTGTATTTCCTGTATGTTGCCAAACCTTTAATTCTTCTAACAAAATATTGGAGATCCTGTTCGGACCATTTACCAGTATCCTTTCAGCTCTGATACAGCTTTAGCAATCAAATAGCTTGGGGGAAAGAGGAGGGAACGGTTGTAGTCATCACTGATGTCAATGGCATATATGCATCACACCCCCAAAGTTGCCCTTTGCAAGGAAAAAATTAGTGGTTCAACAACTGGTTATTTCATCTGAACATTTAAATTCTGTCACAAATACATTTTCATTCTCTAAATTGCACTCTACTTTTAAATTGTGGTCCCACTATTGTTTTTCACATATAATAAAAAAGTTTGAATGCCTAAATAGGAATGTTCCACTTTTAATATTGTTAGACCATCAGCATAGGAAGTGAAGCTTGAACACTGTTGATAGGACTAATCAACAGTACTGTAGATAGCACTAATGCTTTCAATTAATTATAAAATTGTTGCATTATAACTCCAGTAATGAGTTCAGAAACGCTAGGCCTACTTTTTTAATCTTACATTTTCTTCTATGCGGCAATGTAAAAAAAAAAGGCAGTGCTGGAAAAAAAAAAGAGTTGTATTTTTAAAAGCTAACAACAGATTAAACAGAACTTTTTTTCTTTGTAGAGGTAATAGGGATGCCTAAAATCTAGTTCTCTTTGTTTCTTCTCTTTCTTTGGAGGACTCGGGCTGTTCAAATGGAAAAAAAAAAAAAAGAAAAAAAAGAGATAAAACAGTGAAAGAAATTAGATGGATCACTTTGAATATTAAAATTTTCCTTCCCCGAAGGTTCAAAAAGGGAGAAGAACACTGCAGCTTTCTCTAGCATGGTTCCTGCATGATGGTCGTATCTCAGGGGAACTGTGGAGTGCATAGACCTTGGTGCTGTGCTCACCTGAGTTCTTTAGTCAATGAAGGCTCCAAAATGCACAGATATTTGGGTACCCAATTTCTACTGAAACTGATAGATGTTTGGTACTTAAATTATCCAGAGTCTTAGTTCTGAACAGGGGCTTGTGGATGTGGCTGTAGTTCCTCTAGAAAGATTCCTCAGTATCTTCTGGGCAGTTGTTTCTTACCCTTGATTGTGTTCACCCTCTCCCACTGCTCTGGTGAAGTGAATATGAAACAGAAACATGTCTTTTTTCTCAACAATTACTTTATTATGTTCATTACCCTACTGGTTTCTTGGGGGTTTTGAGAAGCTTAGCAATTTCTCCATTCTGAACCTGTGACTGGTTAAAACTTGTTGTTTTTCCTAACTCACATTCAGACTCATCATCTCTCTACAACAGGCTGCTTTGGCAATCCTGGCCCTAATAAGTACTGGAATGACTCTTCTACTTCATTTTATCACTTCATTTTATGTTTACCAGGAGGATGTAATCTCGACTGAGCTGAACCGGAGACACAGTACTCAAGTGTAGTGCTGAGCTCTCTTTAGCTGAGCCCTCCTCTTCTACAGGACTGTCTGTTGATCTGAGAATTTGCCTGGATAGCAGTGATGAGACAGCAGAGATGAGAAAGACTACTTATCTTTTCATCTTCTGTCTTGGATTAAGATTACATTAATTTCTATATGTCAAAAATAATCATTCTTTTACTTTTTTCCTTTTGAACTACAACTACTCTAAGGCCAACAGGTTTGTCTAGAGCTGGAGGGGAGGGAAGAAATCTGTTTGGAAAGAAACTACTCTTCATTTTTTCTTACTGTACTCTCTGATAGAAGACATGGTGTTCCATAAATGTGCTTCTGTGCAGGATCATTTGTGGATGGTATTAGAATATTAAAAGTAAATTGCCATTAACTTTTCAGTTACCCATATATAGACGTATGCTGCCAGTAGCTGGACAAGGAAAGAAAAAAAATTGTACTCAGCAAAATTAAATTCGGAAATAATTACTTAAGTATACGCTTATTTCTTTTTTTTAAAGATTCTGCCATTTTCCTCCCAGCTCCATGTAGGTCTTCTGTGACTGGCAGCCCTCATACCCACCTCAGTGGGATCAGTCCGTTCCCACAGAATCCCACATGCATGAAAAAGTGCTTTACAGGAATGTTCTTTTTTTCTCTTATTATCATTTATTTTTTTCAAATAAGTAGCAAAATGAGACTTCAGAAAAAACATAATGTATTAAACAACAAATCCACAAACTCTGTGGGTCTGTAGTCCAGCTTCACACATCAGCAGGCTTCCAGAGTAATTTTTAGTCTTGGCACAGAGTCTGTTTGAAAATTGCTTCAAAGCAAAAATGGGTGATGGCAGTGACAGTGTGCCTCGCAGACTCTGGACAAAGATGAAAAGGGAACTGAGCACCGGAGTTTGGCTTTTGAGGATGTTTTGTGAGTTTCCTGATAAAGCGGAGGGATCAGCAAACTGATTCCCACTTTCTCAAACCTGCTCCAAGTACGGGCGTAGGAAAGCGGGAGGTATATCCAAGCACAAGAAGCTTGTGTTTTGTTTTGGAGATTGCATACCTGCACGTATTTCGCTTTATACATTTCTGATTTCAGGCTAAAATCCAAAAACCTCAAGCACTGGTTTTGTTGCAATGTGGAATCACCATCCTCTTTAAACAGAAGGCACTTTTAAAAGAAAATGTCTACTGGAGGAAAAGAAAGGGCCTCCTGCATGCTTGGACCCCTGCCTTGTCCACCTGCTTACAGCTGGTGGTTTTCCTCCGATGGTGCGTGGCAGGCAGCCCCCTGACCCCTCTGTGGCACATGGCACACATTCACCGCATTACATTTACTGTGAAGGAGGGGCGCACTGTTGAAGGAGAAGACAGTTTAAACTGGTAGTTTCTGATCTCTAAAAGTAGAGAGAATTCACCTAGCTTGAATACTCTCTCCCTCTCTGTGCAAGC